CGTGTATTTTGTGTTTTTTACGCAATGTGGACAGTTAGTTTCAATCCCTGAATAAAACACTTGCCTACCCCCTACCCTCTTCCCCCTCCCTCATCCCTCATCTCCCTCCCCCTTCCCCTTACCTCCTCACTCCCTCTCCCCCGTACCTCCACATGCCCTCCCCCTCCCTCCTCCCTCCACCCTCCACCCTCCTATGAAGACAACGGAGCTCACGTGAACGTCGGAGGCAACAACTTCCCTCTCCGTGGCTGGAAAGGTTCTCTCTGGGAGGGAGGTATCCACGGCGTGGCTTTTGTCTCCGGCGGGAGGGTGCCACTGAAAGGAACAGTCAACAGAGAGCTGATCCACGTCTCTGATTGGTTCCCCACGCTGGTGGGACTGGCACAGAGCTCCCTCAACGGAACGAAGCCTTTGGACGGAGTTGACCAGTGGGATACCATCAGGTATAGGGCAAACTGTCAAACTGTTTAACGTCCATCTCCGAAAGGACCGAGCCCAGCGGGAAATTCGCACATTGTGCCTTTCCCAAGAGCACAACGTCGGACCGAGCTGAAGCTCGAACCCCCGAAATCGCAATCTCACCATTACGAGTCCGGTAGCCTAACCACTAGGCTACCGACACCACTCTGATTTTGTACATGCCATTAAAACGAAGGTCATGAATATAATATGAATAACCACTGACATACAGATTTATTTATCTTTAAGGACAGAAAAACCTTATCTTGAAATCCCAGTAGGCTAACAAAAATGAAGTGAAAAAAAACCTCCGAGGTCCTTGCTTGTGAGATCTGTTAAAAAAAAATGGAAGATTCAGTTTTGGATAAGGAAATTAGATTTGTTTACATTAATAATAATAAATAGCATTTATACTGCGCATTTCCATTTCCTAAAAGATGCTCAATGCGCATTACAATGAAAAAGACATCACATCTTAAAAATTAATCGACACAAATGTGTACGTAAAACAAAGTATTATACATATAATATAAATGCATATGTGTAAAATTTTATACCAGAAAAACAGTCTCGCAGTGAGGTTGAAAATGTGTTCACTAAAAATATACAATGCAATATAAATTCACGAACAGTCAAAATACAGTTGAAACGTGAGTAACTAGAAACATTCATTAAAACATTAATTCTATACAGATAGAAAAACATTTCCACTCTATCTCTCTCTCTCTCTCTCTGTCTGTCTGTCTGTCTCTCTCTCCCTCTCTCTCTCTCCCTCTCCCTCTCTCTCTCTCTCTTTTCTCTCTCTTTTCTCTCTCTATCTCTCTCTTTTTCTCTCTCTCATTCTCACTCGCTATTTCTTCAGTCTCACAGTCTGGCATACACATGCATATATATCACAGTACATCATTATGACAGGTATGCTTTTGTGAATAAAAAATGCTTCAGCTGATTTTTGAAAATGGAAATTGTTGGGGCAGATCTTATTTTATATTGAAAGTTGGTTCTCTTGGCTGTGACTCGATTGCATTATGCACCGAAGTAAAGTTCACAGCACTCTGTCTGTAAACACAGGAATGATTATTGAGTTGTGGGGCGGGGAGGGGAGGGGGGTAGTGGAGAGAAGTGGGCCCCTGGAAAACTGGGACGAGGCCGGAAACATAATACTGGACAAAGGTTTAACCGTGCTGTAATGAATGTACAGCTTATCGTTGTGTCGACTGTCTGTTGTTGTTCGTTTGTCCACGCTCCTGGCTGCCTGGTACCTTTCCCTCAGGTCATCATCATCATCATCATCATCATCATCATCATCATCATCATCATCATCATC